TTCGTTGATTACTTTATTGCTACAGGTAAATAATCAGTATCAAAGACGGAATAGCTTTTTATAGTTAAGGTTTCTCTGAATAGCAATTTGTCACATCTTACACACCTTCTTGCTATTAAAGTAAGTCAATAATAACGCCCTATTCTTTAGGGCGTTTCATAATCTGCTTTAGGCTGCTTATTATCTTACTTTTCCTTTATTTCTATTCTGCCGGTTTCACACAAGTCTATTTTGTAATCCATACCATAGGGCATGCTAGGAAACAGCTATGGAATCTATCATTTCATTGAGCTATTTGTGATCTTTTGTAAGTTTTGCCAGTTGATGAATAGTCACCTTAAGCCGGGCCTTTAACACAATTCAGATCTGTCGATATTACTATTAAGTCTTGATATTTGTCTTCATTTTTTTGGCATTGATTCAGTTCATTATCGAACGCCTACCAATAAAATATATGAGAATTACAAATCCTTGGTAAAGCTATGTTTAATTCTCCTGACCTTCGAATGATCACCTGAAATCATATAAATCTTCAGCGTTCTTATCTTCTTAAATGCTTGAAATCTAGTTGAGTATTATATGTTTCTTATCTTTTTTTCCTACGGCTGATTCGCGTGACTCCAGCAGCCAATCCGGTTGCTGTGCTGGCTAAACAAGTTCCCCTGGCATTGAGTCCTATAAATACAGAATGTGCCCTCTACGATCCGCTTGGGCGACTTGTACCTCGCGAGCTTGACGAACAAGTCGAGGAGGAGTTTAATCGCCTTCTGGGTACTGCTGCCCACCTTTGTCACGCACGAGGCCTTCATTTTCATCCCGCTACCGAAAAGCCGCTGTCTTTAGGGGAGGTTCTCGAACTTCTGATAAAGTAAGCGTTGTTTAATCTGAGAGAATTTATCTTCGTAAATATATACAATAAGTGGTGTTGTGAGAACATCAGAATTTATTTTATTCGTAGTAAATATACTCTGTTCACCATTATAGTCTGACTATAATTTAATGATTAAATTTTTTTCAACTTCGTGAGACTTGATGGAAAGAATGAATCTACACTAAACTTCTGCTTATCCTTTAGGTTGTCAGTCTTATTAAATATCAAATTAGAATTCGTTTCTTACCCTTTCTCGAAAAACGCACAGGTGGCTCTTCGTATGCTTTAGTGATGTATTAAAACGCGACTATACAGCTAAATATAAATCAACCAACACTAATCAATCTCTATTTTAACCAACTCAGACTTGTGGCCTCGATCATGCTCTAGAGGTCTTGCTGTATCCATATGTAAACAGTATAGGCTATACTTATTTTGTATATTCATATTTGTGATGATGTAGTTATTCGAATACTTATGAGTCATGCAAAGGCTGGATAATACTGAAAGTCTGTCTTCTGCTTCTTTACAGATATCAAGAACGTCACAACATTCAGTTGAAAGTCACGCATCGCGAGCTACTTCAGAAATTATTAGATAGAAAAAGTCAGTTGCTCGACGAAGTAAGTCACTCTTTTCCTATTCTCTGTAGTCTCTGCAAATTGCACAACAGTGTATAACTTTCTTAACTCTACTTATCCAAATCGTAACCTAAACTTTTCTGACACTTTCTGCATATTTTAAAATAATACTTTTTTTCATCTACTGGACTTCATGTTATCATAAATTTCAAGTCTTCTATTTATTTATTCCCGTGCCGAATACATATCGATTACTGTAATTTCATACAAAAGTGCTGTATCTTGTTGCCAAATCCCTGAAACGTGTTGCGAAATCCATATTGCTGCTTTTTGCTTATGAATACTATAACTTAACCAGATAAAGTGTAGGGCGCTTAGTTACTGATAGGAGAGTATCTTCTTACCTATGTTAATTTGGCTACTTTAATGTTGCTTTATTCTACCAGTATTGGCTAGGATTGCCTAAGATGGTTATGAGAGAATCTAACCTTAATATGCAATTATTCTCATAGTTCTGCTTAAACATTCATAATCCATCTATTTTCTTCAGTACTATAGTCGAACCTTCTTTTGAGGATATGAAGACCAAGATATTGTGACTTTTGGCATGGTCGCAGTCTCCTTTCGATTTATAGAAGTGGGTAGACGTCGTTGTCGCAACTTGGTCTTGTTGTCAGGGCGAGTAGTAGAACACACCTAGTCCGAAGTCGTCTGCCATAGAAGTTGTCATCATTCCCAGCATCAGACAGTGGACTTGGTACATTCTTAAACGTTTCGCTGGCATCGTAGTCAGCATCATCAGTGAGTGCCGCCATTCGCCGCACCAAGCTACGAACTCGTGAAGCCAATCCCTCGACAAACGTTCTACCGAAAACGGTTACACTATCACTCCTCTTTCTGTCCTGGCCTATCTATACACTCTTTACCCTCTTATCCCACTGCCGCCCTATCACAACTACTCACTTGTTTACATTCCACTCGTCAAAATGTGTGCACTTTTGTGGCAAATCTAGTATGGCCGCATCACACTTGCTACTCACCCCGACCCCCTCTCTTTCGATGGGCTTATCCCACTCGGGCCTCCAATCCGGATTCCCTCATTGTCTCGTAGATCAGTTC